GCCGTGCACTGTCGTGCACATTCTTTGGTCGGGCACTGTATTTTTTTCGGTTGGTTAAGTCAAAACATACACAATTTTGGCCTAGACGGTCGAAATATACCAAAACCTGATCGAGACGTTCAAAACATGAATTGAGCACCGTGACCCGATCCAATTCTTTTTTGGTGGCTCTATTTACCTGGTTAAACAGTTTAGCTAACATCTTCTTATGTAATCATAACTTCATTAAACCCACCATCCTCATTTGTAATTTCTACAAAGTTTTTTCTTTTTGACAGCAATTGATTTTTGCAATGGTAAAAAAGTTCTGTGGTCTGGAATCTGTTTTTTTAATTAACCAGACAGTTTTTGGTAGTTTTCATAAAAATTATAACTAGGTAAATTAGCATGATTTTTTCCTGATTAGCAATTTAGTTGCTTCAATTGTCGAATAACCCAATTTCCTTTTGAAAAGAATTAGTTCCTAGTCAAAGGTTAAACAGGTAGCAGTAGGTACCCTTATTGATCAGTTTTGTCACATTGTTGACATGTTGGCTGTTTCTTTTTGATGGAAAAAAAACATAAATAAAAATCAGTTACATGGTTCATCAAACGGACCTTAAATTTATTATTTATGGTCGAGAAAAGACCCAGTTCTGGATAGTCAAGAAGAAAAACAGAGGCAAGGTTTCTAGGAATCGGATTGTGAAAGGTCTAATCAAAAGCAATAATTTCAAAATCTTATCTGAAGTTTCTCGATTAACAAACGATCATGTTGCAGTCATTTTTGTCAATTGTTAGTCTTAATAGTCTTGCTTTCAAGCTGGTTCTCGCAGGTAAAAAAATTGATTCATCAAAAAATGATTTTTTTTCTGAGTTGAGATTAGCGCCTAAGAACAAGATAAATCAATCGCTACCTCTGATTCATTTCAAAATTATCTCTGTTCCCGTACCAAAGTTTAGGCGTAAGTTATCGATTATAACGGATTGTTTTGATGATTTTTTGACAATTATAAATGATTATAATTACCAAAATTAGGTGTTTAAAGGACTTATAATTGATTTTAATCGTGATATTTTCCAAGAGATTCTAACCTCTTATAATCGATTTTAAGTTATTTCAACTAATACACAAAAAACCCTCAAAAACAATTTTAATCGATTCTAATCATTATAATCTCTTTTTTTTTCCAAAATTTCGACACACCAAAATTTCGTCACACCCTATATCTTATGGGTTATTAATTTTCTGTCAATAACAAAACCTCTCAGAAAGAGATCTCTTGTCACAATCTGGCTCATCTGAACGCAAAGTTTTGCAACAAAACAAAAGTTTTCATATTAGTTGAAAGGTTCCCGCGGTAGGTGAAAAACAAATCTTTCGAATCAATCATGAAACTAATTCAATTTGCTGATGCTTTGACGTTAAAAAAAGCTTAAATTTTGCATCATGAAACAACTCTAATAGGGAAGAAATGAAACAAAAACGTTATAAAACTGAATTGATTTGAATACTTTAAAAACAGCTTCCTTATTTTTCACAGGAACCAACGTCTACTAAATGCATAAAGTATAAGCAATTCAGATGCAACATCGAGGACAAAAAGGGCAACCAAAAGGGATTAAAACCTTTTATATTCGATTATACGTGATTTTTGTGCAAAACACATGAATTAGAGATTGAGATTAAAATAAGGGGTTATAATCGATTCTAACTTATTATAATTGTATCAAAAAATAGCCGGATAAATAGTCGATTATAATCGATAAAAATGTGTTATAACTGAATTTAATTTGATTTCAAAAAAAAATTTCAAGATTAAAAAAATTGTTTGAAATTCAAGATTATAATCAATTATTGATCGATTAAAGTCGGCTTCTTCTCAATTTTAGTAAGACTGCTACTAAAATCCTAATATAAGCAATTATATCAACGCTTTAAATTGAATGCGGGTTTCTCTGCTTTTTTCTGTGTTTGCTTTTTTTTATCCCGAACACAGGGTCACTCAAACAGTTACCCCTGAAGATGTTGGACAGATGTTGGACCCAAGGATGAATTTATGAGAAACATTTTGAGAGTTTTTGTTTCCCCCTTCCAACTAATGTGTATAAAGTCGCCAAATCACAACTAAAAATTCATATCGTTGAAGTTACCGATTCCAATTTTGGTTTCGTTGACCTTACACAAACCCAAAAGCGTGCGAAGGGAGTGGCGACTGCCAAATTTTTCCAAATTCCAGAGCTCTTTCGGAATTCAAAAAGATCCCGCACTTATTGCATCCTGCTCGCATTCTAAGTCTGAAAAATGGTAAAGATGCTATGCTATTGCTATAAAAGGTTCATAATCTCCTGAAAGCCTTCACAAGAGAACTAAGTCCGCATCTAAGAAAAGAGAAAAAAAGTTATTTTTTATGGATTTTCGTAGTCTAAAATTTGTCAATATAATCGATTCCCATGTTACGTTCAGACAACAAAACTGGACAAAAATTTGGATTCAAATTCATTTTTTCTCTCAAAAACATAATGCATTAAAATTCATTTGAAATCCATTATAATGGATTATAAAGTAAATCGAAAATCAAATTATAATTGATTTTTTTCCCGCTATACTTTTGTTTTGCGTCGTGCAAAATTTTGCAAGAGTTTCTGCATTGATCAAATGAGTAATGCGGTAATTTTGCAAATCGAGTGTATGGCCAACTCCATTTATAAACCTAACCTCAATTTGCAAAAAGATTCTGTGTTTCCTCTTTGCTCCCTGACAACCCCCATCCCAACGTTTGCCAACACCCCCTCTCCCACCTGAACCACCATCATCCCCCAGCCTGAACAACCCCCGGCCCGCACCTGATCAGGTAGGGTGGTTGGGGGGGGGGGGAGGTTTGGCTCAAGTGGGGATGGCGTGGGCAAGAGCACAAAGAGGGCAAAAAAGCAAACAGTTGAGGGGGTTGTAAAAGGAAATTGTTGAAAGAAACAAAAATCAATCATTGAGTAACATAAAACAATAACAAAAACATCAAAGTTGCGCAGCAGAAAAAAAAATAAATCGAGCAACAACTAACCAACTTTAGCTTACAACTTGGGAAACATTTTTGAGCGTTGAAATTCGCATCTCAGCAAAGTGGAAAAAAAATATTTTATTTCGAGTTTTCTGTCAAAGCCACAAAACTGGAAAAAAAAAATCGATTATAATGGATTAAAAATGGACTTTGTTGCCTCCAAAAATAATCATGTTATAATCCTTTTTTACATGATTATAACCATTTTTTTTCACTTTCGTGGACGCTGACATTAATTTCAATTATAAACATTTCTTATTCATGGAACTCCAACGCGGGAAGCAACTTTTTGGAAAACATGAGCCCGGTATCGCTCAATTGTGGCTCGAATAAGTTCACATCTAAAATGTAAGGAGGAATGTAAACCACCAAAAAACATAACCAACATCTGCGCCCCGAAATTATTTTGCAGGCAAGTTCTAGCAAGTTTAGTTTCCTTTAAGTGCATAAAGCTTCACTGATTTTTTAAAAAGTTTTATAAACAAAAAAATTTATTTAAGATTGACATTGTCTGACCTCAAAGACAAACTTTTAGCGCAAGATCTCGATTGTGTGCTAACCATTCGTTCTTAAAAGAAACACAGATAAAAATCAAAAGAGTTAATTCATTTAAACATACTTTGACAAAGTTACTTTAAGTCTCTTTGTTTGCAACGCTGATTATTCAACATTGATTTTTCTGATTGTTTGCAACGCTCCATCTGATCCCGAGCTTTAACATCGGATCGGGTTGAATACAAACCAGCACTACAACCAAACCCAAGAAGAGATAGAGAAACTTAAAATTTTCAGGTTAATAATAATCATCAAAACTCGGTCTTTAAGGGACGGTCTTAAGATTTTTTCGATAGGGTCGGGTTTATAAAAAAAAGTTTTCAAGAAAACTTTGTTGACCATTTACATTACAAGGCCAAACTTTGTTTTGTGTGAATGGGAAGCGGATTATGCATCAAGGGCGCTCTCTTTGTTCTTCTTTTGCTTTTTCGGTTTCTCTGATTATTCAGGCAAAAGATAAACAAGTTTAAAGACTGGACTCTGGATTCCATAGACCTACAATCACCAAATTGTGTGCCTATTTATGGCACACTTCGGCCTCCCAATGTTTTAGGTCAACCAAATTGATTTTTTGAGCTCTAAAAGATTAGAAAAGACAAAAATTTGACGTTTTTAGACCCTTTTTTGCTAAATTTAGACAAAATAACCGATTTTTTTTCGACGCGCGGTTTCCAAAAACTTATTTGTGTGAATGGGAAGCGGATTATGCATCAAGGGCGCTCTCTTTGTTCTTCTTTTGCTTTTTCGCTTTCTCTGATTATTCAGGCAAAAGATAAACAAGTTTAAAGACTGGTCTCTGGATTCCATAGACCTACAATCACCAAATTGTGTGCCTATTTATGGCACACTTCGGCCTCCCAATGTTTTAGGTCAACCAAATTGATTTTTTGAGCTCTAAAAGATTAGAAAAGACAAAAATTTGACGTTTTTAGACCCTTTTTTGCTAAATTTAGACAAAATAACCGATTTTTTTTCGACGCGCGGTTTCCAAAAACTTATTGCAAAATATAGTGGCGACGAAAGCTCGTTGAGCAAAATTTAAGGTTCCATCTGCCAAAAGTGGAAATCTCATAAGAGTATAAAGGGGTCCCTTCGGGTCGGCATATGTCGAACCCCGTATGAGGAACAACCCATCTCCCCTTAAATCCGATACTGATGTCTTTGATTTCCTATGATTTAGGAGGATATCACCTGTTTGATTCAAAGTCTGAGTGATTACGACAGCTAAGAGACAAAACCAACAATCAATTGGATCTTTTTAAGGAGAGAATATGCGACATTGTATCTATTTGAGCATTAAGTTACAGCAGATGATCATCATAAAACCACTAAATTCTTCAAAACAAATACAACTTTGTGTGATAATATTGGACATCAAAGACCATATTCCAGATAACCTTTGGAATTTTGGTAACCAACTTACCTTTAATGTATTTTGTCATCATTTTATTTTTGGGCAAGAATTTATGTTCACATCTTGATTGCCATATTTTTGATTGTTTAGTTGATGTAAAATACCTGTAATTAATAATCACTTAATAACTACTCAGAAAAATCATTACCACGAGTGGAAACATATCAAAAACTTTTGTGAAAATAGAATTTATAATATTTAATTAATAATTACAAAAAAAGTTATGCCTGATATAGACTATGCTGAATTATCGGTGTCTAATCACCACCTATTTGCGACATCTGTTGAGGTGTCCAACAGACTAGCAGAGCTCAGAAGGGAATATTCCATCACAAGAAGAATACTCACAGCTGTTATTCTGTCATTATTGAACATCGTCAACTTCTTCGATAGGTCTCATGTCGGCTGAACACTACCTTCACCTCGTCAAAAGAAACTCTCATATGTTTGAATTGTTTTTTTAAAAGTTTTTTTTTCAGAAAGTTTCCAAAAAACTGCATATTCAGCATTTTCTCTTAAGTTTGACTGTGCAGCAACACCCCCCCCCCCCTAATAGGTTTTGGATACGCTTGGAAAAATAGCTTTTTTCGTTTTCTCCGTGGCACCTACGATTCGTAACACAGGGGCGGATTTAGGGGGGGGGGGCGGGGGGGGGGGGGCGCGGACGCCTTCTTTTCCTCAGGAATTTGACCGTAACAATTACCAAAGGGTCCCTACGGTCCCTACTTAGCACTGGCCGCTACGCAAAAGTCCATTCTGACTCTCAAATTTGGCGCTAATTTACATTCACAAAGATGTAGAAATCAATGTCGAAGAGGTCATCGACAGATTTGCCGCAAAAAATCGAAGACTCAATTTTGTTTAATTTTGTTCATTTTATTATTGTAAATAAATCATTGTTTTCGTCAAAACTTTTCACAATCCGCCCCCCTCCCCCCCTCAAGAAAATCCTAGATCCGCGCCTGTCGTAACATATAAATGACAAAGGCCAGAAAACAAACCTATCGACAACTTTTTATTCCATTTTTTTGTGAAAACTCGCTTGAATTTTGAAGACCCCTGTTCAATCGGCCAAGATTTTTTTGCCGTGTGCCTGAGTCTTGCTTTTAATTAAAATAATTGCCCCTAGTAATATATATAATTTCAAGCGTTGTATTTTTACTTAGGTTATCGTTTATAATCAAAGAACCCATTGTTTGGCCCCACATTTCTTAACTCCCTATGTTCACAACCCATTTTTAAACAAATGATAGACAAACAATATCCACTTTCAAACGCCTCTCATTAATTGTTGATTCAATCTGAGAAGTATTTTTTTGGCCAATTATGTGATCAGCTGACTCATTTACCTCAGATCAATATACGGAGTGGTTCTGCCAGCTATCAAAGAAAGTTTCCAAATTAGCAACTCCCAGGCTGGGTTAATTCAGACACTCTATGTCGTCTCTATCATAGTAGCAGCCCCAATGGCAGGTGCGTATACTGACGTCACATTTAAATTTAACGTTGGGTAAAATAATTATAAGAGAAATTGAGAAATAATTATAAGAGAAATTTTTGATACAAAACAAGCTAAAAACAATTTCCAGACAACAGGGATGATCTCGCAATGATGAACTTGATTTTATTAATTCTAGCGCTGATTCAAAATTTACATAAGCAGTACAAGGATAACTTGGGTTCCGGTACACGTAATTAGGTTAATTATTAAGCATACTAAGCTAATTTTATGGATAATCAGCTTTTCAAAAACCTTCAAGCCGCGATAGCAAAGAGGTAACATTAGGGTACCCACACTCAGTAAAAAGAGAAAATAATCGATTATACTAGAATTATAATCCTACTGTTAGCCAAAATATAATTTGTTATAAGCGCCAAAATTAGATGCTTAAACGATTTATAATCCATTATAATGATAACATTTTTGGTGACATTTTAATAAATTATAATCAAGTATAATTGATTACAATTTTTCTGAAAATCTCTTATAATGTATTATAATAGGTTATAATCTCTTTTTCTATCAAAATTTTATCTGAAAAAAAATCAACTAAAGTGGATTTTAAATTAGCTATTCCGCATGCAAATACATTAAAAATCAAATTTAAAGTAAGTTTAAGCTTAAGTAGGGGCGGATCTAGGACTTTCTCGGGGGAGGGAGGCGGATTTTCAAAAAAAAAAATGAAAATTTTGTCGACCTTTTTCTTAGGTGGACCAAATTAGTTTTCTGCGCCGCAGGCAAAATTATGAAAAATAGGCCAAAAATGCGTTTTAAGACACTCTTTGGAAAAATGAGGGCGCGCTCTACCCCCTCAAAATTAGTATTTATTGGTGCCACAGGCGCTATCCGCTTACGTTTGCAAAATCGGCATGCGTATTGATAAATGCGCTTTAATTTGCGGATTCCGAAACAACTAGCTTAATTCACTTCTTGCGGAACCCGCGACAAAAATAATAGTTCGACAAAATCTAAGTTACATGTTTTGTGCGCCGAATCCACGGAAACTTTGCAAGTGAGCGGAACCTTTGATAGTTAAATCCACTTGCTTTTTGATAATATGTTTGAAAACGTGTCGATAGTTTTCAGAGTGACCTAGTGGCACTAAAATGAGGTTCTATTTAGTGCAAACTGTCAATATCAACAATTTGTTTTTTATAATTTTTTGTTCATTTCTTATTTTAAAATTTTAATTTTTTGCAACATAAAAGTTTATGCTTTTCAACAAAAATTTTATTTTTTTTTTCAGATTTGCAACAGTTTTTATTAGCATCAAGAAGTATAAACGAACCAAAATAAATTTTAAAATTGAAATGATTTTTTTTGTTCATCAAAATCACAGAAACTGTAGGGGAATCGAAATAAAATTGTGGATACTGTTGTCTTTGGAAAATAAATCTTGAATCTAAAAATAGTCAATTTTATGATGTTTATTAGGTGAGCTTTGATCAAAAACAACTTTGAAAAATCAACCGTTTAGCCCACAAAGACTTTTGATGTAAGACTGTGTCCCGAAATAGAAGTTATACTAAAACCGAACTGAAGAGGTCAGTCACTTGCCGTCTGCTCTGACATAAAATTTTCAAATTTTTAAAATTGGTTTTAAGGAGGTTTCAAATGCTTTTGATACGGAATCGGCATGCATCAAACCCACCGAATCAAGAAGATGACCCAATTTCAAACCATTGCTGAACTCTAATAGAATCTTGCAATCCATATTTAAAACTTCTTCACTTTATTCAAAAAATCTCAACATTAAGAGACCACACTGCACATTTGGTAAGCGCACAATTTGGTTTCTGTAGATCTATAAAAATCAAAAAGAAGTATTCAAACATGTTCGAAAATGTATGTGGATTTCTTTTTACAAAATTTCTGTCGATTCCACGTTCAAATACGTGTAATTTAATTTTTGTCGGCACAGTAGTTTTGTCGCGGATTCTATAATGAGTGAATTTAACTAATTGTTCCGGATTGTTCCAAAAATGAATATGGAGTCCTCAGATGTTGCTTAAGTTTTGCGGATTCTGCTCAAGGGTGCGGAATTTGAAAAAGGAATGCGCACCAAAACAGAGCAGTTTCTCCGTGAAAACCATCCAGTAAAAGTCCAAAAAACATCTTTTTCATTGCTTTTTTAATTGGTCAATTATGTCTTGATTATGATTTCGATAAGCGCGGAGCTCTTTCTGCGCCCAAATGCAATCAAAGTGGTAAACAAGGGTAAACTGAAACGTCTATAGCCTAGTTTAGTGCAAGATGAAACTAAACATTTTTAGCCACTTTTAGCTGAAACAAAGACTCATATTAGCCTTGACAACATACAACAATATTTTTACTAATTGTGAATGCAAGAGACACCTGTATCCACTTTTTCAGTGCTGATTAGAAATGCTAATAGTGTTTTTTGCTGCTATTTTCAACTGTGGTCCTTTTAGGCGTGATTGGGCGTCGCTTCAGCCGTAAGTGGGCCATAATAGTGGGCAGTATTGCATGGTGTGCGGCTGTGATATGTGGCCCCCTCTTCTGTGGGGACTCCTTTACCCTTTTCTGTCTCATCAGGGCATGTGCAGGCATAGGGGAGAGCTTCCTGGGAACACTCGGTTAGTTAAGTCGGATCTCTTAACTAGTACACAAATACAAAAGGACAAAGTTCAACGACACACGTACAAAATCCGCGAATCTTTAATGATTGAAAGAATTCTGTATAAGGGTCAATATTCTTATCTGCTAGGTATATTGGGCGGAATAGTTAAATCAATCGAGGCACCGGATTTTTCATAGTTTCAAAACTTAAATTTCAGATTTATTTTAAAATAGGTCGACTTTTAATGACAAAGTTCTTAAGTTTTTTTAGCCCACAGAAAACCAAACTTTTTTGCAGAAAGGTTAAGTTTTTCTTCCAAGAAATCTTATTTTAAAGTTTTCCTCTTCAGTTAGCTTTTTTATCCGTGTTAATTTCCGATGCTCTGACCAGTGAAGAACAAACTTTCGATGCTCTCTTTTAAAGACACAGACAAAAAACCTTTTTGAAAAAAAAATCATTTTAGCCATCACTATCTTCGCTGACTTGTTCAACGAAAAGTACAGACCCCTAGTGCTGAATGTGTTCATGGGTGGAATCCTTCTCGGGGGGTCCCTGGCCTACCTTCTGGGTCCTCTAGTGAGTGAACACCTGGCAGATGTGTGGGGTCTGCAGGGGTGGGTGTGGGTCACAAGTGGCACTGGAGTGGTGGGGGCTGTTTTCTTGATTCCAGCTGTATTCATTGTTCCAGATGTGCCCATGCAAAGTCCAGCGGGAGGTGCAAAGAAGGTTGGTATGAAATCAAAAAAATCTTCAAGTAGGAAAAATATCTGTTTTTTGTCTCACTTCCCATCCGCTTTGACCAAACAGAGGTGATTTTTTTTCAATTCAACTAATGACAAGTTTTTTATAGCAATCACGAATGGAATCAGTTTAAAACAGGTATTTTATATCCAACTAAATTCCTTGATAATAATCACAGTAAAATATTTAGAACTAAACAATCATGATCCATTGCTAAAACTTATGATAATTTGTGCAGATGAAACTATTTATAGTTTCAGCCACAGAAGAAATAATTTAACCCAGAAAGCAGTTGCTCTTTTTCTCCTCTTACCTCGCGAGAATACCAGTTTAGATTACGTAACGAACAGACGGTGCAGTGCACCCTAACCGAAATTACTCTATGGGAAGGCCACCCTGGACCTAAACTCACAAAGTTTTAAGAATTAAGCAAGATTTTGGCAAGATTTTCTTCCGGGCGCAGAAACATTGACCTATGGTATTGACCTAACTTTTTGGTTTGTTCTGTTTCAGAAGGGTTCTATGGCAGCTGACTTGAAGTACATGTTCAGCTGTAAAAGCTACATCTTTACTGTCATCGGATACACCTGCTTCTCATTCACACTTGGTGAGTAGCAAGATCTTTGTGTAAATTTATTCTGATCACTCTTGTAAGTTTATCCACATTCAACTCTCATTTTTATAGATATTTTTTTCTAATCATATCAATTGTCTTTTCATGGAGAAAAAGTTCGTAAAAACAACAAGCTTAAAAAAATATGATAAACAATTTTTTTTTCTTTTTTTTCCTAAAGTTTCTATTTTTAAATATCTTTGAATTTCAAAAAAAAATAGCCTCAATCTTTCACAGGAAACTTCCATTTCTGATTAAAAATGAATATGGTGATCTTTAACGAGTTAGGTTGAGACTAAAGATCTTTTTATAATTTTTAAGTGATAAAATGTGTATTCATAGGCAAATAAAAATCAACTAGCAAAGTAATCAATTTTGTGACGACCAGTAGCGTGCCGAGGTGGGGGGGGGGGGGGGAGGGTTGCCAAAATTTCTGGTTGCCAAAATTTTCCAATGGGTCTCCCTCTGGTATAACTTAACGATATCCATTTTCGGCTGGCCAACCTCAAAATTTTTCTAAAGGCGCCTTTGGCGCTAATATAACTAATTTTGAGGGAGGAGCGCACGCCGAAATAAGCATTTTTTTGTAAAAAGTTTCCAAAAAGTGCCCAAAAACGCCTTTTTTGGCCTGTTTGATAAAAATTTTGCTGGCGGCGCAAAAAATTTCAGACAAAATAGGTCCTTACAGTATTTCCACAGGGGAGCGGTGGTAAAGTGGTTACGTCTCCGCCTCTCAAACGAAACATCGGATGTTCGAGCCCCCCCCCCCCCCATGATCCGTGCTCGTTGCTTGAGGGTGAAGAAACATTGCCCAGCCCAGTAAAATAACCAAAAAATTACATGTAGGTCTTAAACAGCGGCACAACAGCGGTTCGCTCTGATGAGCTGTACAGATCTTGTGTTGGTCCTTTTCCCCGTGGATAAATGATCTTAATCGTAAATCGATCATCATGAGAGCACCGAAAATGAAAGTGGTTAACCTCAAAGAAGGGGCGCACGCCACTGGTCAACGAAGATAGCATTGGCTAAAAAGATTTTTTTTTCTGTGTCTTTAAAAGAGAGCATCAAAACTTCGTTTTTCACTGGTCAGAAAAAAAGGCGATGAGCACGCCACTGGTGAAGATTTATCTCTGAATCTCAAAGATTTGATATCTGAAAAAATAATTGCTATTTGCAGAACTTTATCGCATTAAAAATATTGAAACTCACATGATAAAAATCAAGTAGAATATTTTTTTTAGTTTTTTTTTAGGTTTGAATAACTATTTTATCATTCATATTACTTAGAAAAATACAATCTTTTTCAATAATTTGGCGAACCTTATATATGACAAAAAATAGCTGCAGTTGAAAATTCAACTTGTTTGAAAAAACTCTAATTTAAGAAAATAGAAAATATATTGTTTCTATAGGTTCAAAACAGTACTGGGACGTCACATTTATCACCTACAGTTCTTACGTGAACTCAAATATCAACCTAGACGAAGTGATTAACATCATCGCTCTCATCGTGTTCGTCTGCGGTTGGCTTGGCTCCATTGGACTGGGCGAATTCGCTCGCTTCTTCAAAAACAGGCAAATGCTCAAAAGTGGCAAAAATTTAAATGTTTGTCAATATGGCTAAGGGAATTTTGTGACACTTGAAAATGAATTTTTAAATTGGATTATGGTAACGCCATAAAATGATTAGATTAAAAAAGAGAGATTTCAGATAAAAATTTTTATCCACAAGGTAGAGTACTAATGTTAGACCAGCTCTTTACGGAGAACCACTACTGTAACTCTGGTTAAGAACTAGATGTCATTTTTTATTTGTTTTCTGAGCTAAGCATAATTGTTCTAACAGCAAGGTTTGAGCACGGATCGTTCAAATAAATAGATCTAGTGTTAACGAATGATTATACACTATTGGAACCTGATCTAAACTACATTTTATGATTGGATAAATTAGATATTTTACCAATGTAAAGTATTTAATATTAACCAATCATGATCCATCTGACTAACAATCCACTTATTTGTAAGTGCTGAAATTACTTGTAATTTCAGCACCAGAGAGATTTGAATTTAACTTAGAAATTAGTTGAACTCTCCCGAGTACTTCAGCAGCCGCAATAAACCAGTATACCCTAGATCTATTGAGCCTAGCAGAGACTAGTTAAACAACCTGAGACTAGATAGTATAAGAGTAAGATTAGGATTGGTATTAGACTAAGAAGTTGCACGAATCTATCCGGCCGAAAATAAGATAGCGTGACGAGCAGACGGTGTACCCTATCCGAAATTACTCTATGAGTTATACCCATCGGTCCTAACTCATCTGGTGCGACCATAAGTCTCGAACAAGACCTTAATAGCTTAGAATTAACCAATAATAGATTAGAATTTAGACAAAACATTAACAAAATGTTATACGACGATAATTTAATCGAAATGTCTCTACGACTCAATAGATCAGAGCCAATATTCCGAACAATAACAGAACTACCCGGAATTGGAAGAAGACCTCGAACCAGAGACGACATACGACAAAGTAGAAACTTACCATATAGTTATATGATAGTTCGGCAAAAGCCAACACAAACTTTTGTATTTAGAATACTACTAGCAATGAATTTAGATTTTCATTTGCAAACATAAAATTTTGAAGTCAATCTTCAAAATCATTTCAGGCGCTAAACAAAATTATTAATATACAATAACAATTGATAAAAAGATCTCAGATCGTTTTCCTAAACTCTGCAGTAATATACAAGACATGTTTGAAAAATATTTATTGAAAAATCAAAATAAAAATTAGTAGCATGACAATAAATGGTTAGTAATCATAAATCATCCTGTTGTTCCAGCTTCATCACCTAAACATAACAGCATTCATAAGCTCACTAATATCATAAAAACACTAAATCTTTTCTTTACACAAATTTAAATCATTTTAAACTTAAATTCACTTAAATTTAAAATCAGATCATCAAGGCTCATCCTTGGATCTTAAATTATTTTCTATTTAATTAAATTTAAAACTTGATCATCAAGGCCTATCCTTGGATCAAAAAGAACAATTTTGTTCTCCCCCACCCACTTAGCTAGTGTCTAACGACCTCAAACGTCGATTCACTATCCAACCCTTTCTAAAAAAACCCAGGACTAATAGAAATTTTTGAACAAAACTAATCATTCAAATTAGGATAAACAGTGAAGAACTTCGGTTACTCATCCTTCACTTGATCCCCTCTCTTACCAGACCCAGGATAAATCTTAGACTTAGTAAGTTTAAAATAGTATCTAACGAACTACTCGCGTTCTAATTATACCTGAACCTTGTGGATCGATTTACTATTCTCCAACCCTTGAACACAATCACTACCCTTAAGTAAGATTAAGTAAGTTAACACCATAGCTTATACTAGCCACGAGAAAGTATAAAATCATTCTTCGGAATCGATATACTTTTCTCTCCAACCCTGAACAAATACACCCAGGTTAGGCTAACCAAAAAATCGTAAGGACTAACAGTCTAAGAAAATAGAAATCATTTAACAACCCTTTGCATCCGTCATCCTAAACCTTATGTCATTTAAAAACCTAGGAAATAAACAAACAATCGTTTTACACAATTGTGAGATAGATAACACAAAATACGACCTTGTAATCACACCTCATACACAAACAGTTGGATACATTAGAACAAAACGACAAACACTAAAAAGAAAAATAATAACCAAACAAAGACAAATAACACGAAAAAGATTTTCAAAAAACCGAAACGCATTTTCAGAATCAGAAACCA